CAGTGATAATGTCAAGACCAAATTCAAATAAACCCAACTCCATTGAAAATAATTGGCACAGCTGCATTATTGGTGAATTGGATGGCATAAAAATATATTACAAAAATAAATCATTTGCCTATCRTCTCTAATCGACCCCTAAAAAGTTCTCTTCCCCTTTGTTGCTTCCAATAAAGTAATAAATAATCAACACAGGTGCCATTTCTATTTCTTTTTTGCAGTACCAGTCAAAATGTAGAATATTTCTGGCAGATGGCATTGCTTATTTCTGTGTAATGTCTAATTAGATAATTAATAGTGATTGTATTTATTATTATTTAACATTTTCAACATCTTAAGAAATATTATTCAATGTTTAAAAAAATCTTCAGTCCTAACAGCAATACATTTCACAAAAATATGGAGAGACAAAGGCAAAATAAATGGCATCTGCTGTAAAGGACTCTAGAGTCTTTTTCATTATGAACTATAAAAAATAATCATGACAACTTATCCAGTTCTCTGTCTATGTGGGGAATACTACTACATCCTTGTTGCATTTGAGGCAGACTAAGTCCATAAACTCACAACTRTGAGACATAATTTCTGTGTAATTACTACTGTTCACAGTATTTCACAGTATCATGAAGCTGTAAACTCTTCTTTTAGAGTTGTCTTCTTGGACATAAAGAGGTTAAGAGACACATTTGTGCAGGAACAACCAAGAACTCTCTATCACCATTAATTTCATCTTAGCTCATGAAACATCTTCTGGAGTGAACATATTGGCCTGAATGTGCTATCAGTTTCTCTGCTATACACCTTGCACTATTCCAGCAGGATAAGTGAAGACAATTCAGATTTATATCTGAGTACTAGAACTGCACTAGACAAACTATCTAAAATAGAAAAAAAAAAAACCCTTTTTCTTTCATGTGAGTTTCCCATGAACAACTTGATCTGTTGTTTTATTCAAAATTTTACAGTGATTTCAACATACCAGCTTCAATGCAGCGAACAAAGGAGGATCTACAATGTCTTTATGTCAGTAACAGCTTAAGCACATCCTTAGCAAAACCATTTGACTATTTCTTCTTCAATAAACAAATTATCTTTACATAAATACTCACAAAAATCAGTTAAATTTTTTTTTCAGTAGCAAGCACRCTTCTCACTTGAACAAATAATGACACAAACACATTTTTATTGATTTTTTTCTCAGTGAGCAAAGATACTGACCAAACATTTCCCCATGGAATACCATTTCTAAGAAGCAGATTCTGACTCCTCTACAGTTAGTGGCAGTGTTATGCTGCTCTGGAGTGTTATCGCAATTATAACACTGAAGGCACGTCATGATAACAGGAGTTAAGAATTTCTATGTATTTATGAAGTTTTGCTCATCTCCTGTGACTAGTAACATAACCTCAGGTACAGAAGAAAATGTCTCCCAYGTGCAGCGTTGATAGTATTATTTGTGTCTTAGAATTATAAATGCAGGATGATAAAAAAAATCTTAAGTACTAAGAGGTGATATTTTGCTTCMTAGATAACCCTCCAGGGATAAATCTAAACTGTGAGCCTTAAAAATCTTCACATAGTGAATAAACACAAGAGCAGGAGAGCTGCCAGGAGAGAAGCTACATGGCACCTTTGCAAATTTGACTCTTGTCTAAACCTTTGTTGATTGATTTAGACTTTGCAACGTGCATAACTTGCATCTTTCATAGGTTTGAAGAAGTTGACCCAATGTTCAGTTCTGCCAGATTTGGTCTAAGACAYTGAAGTTGTGGGTGCACATAAAATATAGGAAGGGGCTCAAAAATGATTGCTTTCCAATTCTCACTTTGTGTATGTGTGTGCAGAACAATTAAATATTGTTTCAGATGGAGAACACTAAATATCCACAGCCATAAGGAGCATCGTACATAGGTTCATGTTCATTAAATGTTACCATCATTCCCATTAATTTTCACTGTACTCCCTGCTGTATTATTGTTCAMGTTTTATCACTGAACCGCTAGTGAAAAGCAGCACAGCTACCTATCTAGGCTAGGAGCCTTGCAAGCTTTCAGAAGAAAGGGTCAGAAGAAAAAATGTGGCCCCAAATTGCTGTTTCTTTTTCCACATTCTGGTCAAATTTAGAGACAATTAGCTGCTAACTGAGAAGAGCCTCTTACCCACAATTATACACTAATATTAAGTACTGAGGTCAAAGCTGCTGTAGCCCCAACATCTGGAGAGCAGTTGATTAGTGCTCTTCGTCTCCCCTTTGCCATTAGGAAGACTGCAGCTTTGGGGCAGCAGCTGAGATGAAAGGGCTGAGATCTCTTTAAGAAAATCTGTGAAGTGAAAAAGTAAAATAAAATAAAATAAAATAAAATAAAATAAAATAAAATAAAATAAAATAAAATAAAATAAAATAAAATAAAATAAAATAAAATAAAAACATCAGGCTGGAGAGTGACCAACAGGGACAGGAAAGAAGGGGGTAACGCAGTTCAGGAAGCCACATTGAAAAGAAAGGAGACAAATATAATAGAGAATGATGTCTTAAAAATGCTCAATAAACCAATTAGATCAGAATTATAAAATGATGAGGCGGTAAATATATATTAGATTGCAAAYGAACCAGCTTATCCCAAGTTATAAAAGCCCTATGACATAAACAGGAGGATAACTGGCACAGAAGGAAGAGAAAACCTGGTAACAAGATTTCAGTCGTATGGGAAGCTTCACTCGGAGAGGATCTTTAACACTCAGGGCTGGCGTTTCACGCAGCGCTACCACAAAGCACAACCCGGGCGCCTTCCCCGACCTCCCCGCGCGGCCTCACRCCAGCCTCCAGCTGCAGCGGGGCCAGCACGGTCCCCTCCAGCAATGAAGATAGAGGGTGGCAGCAGAGAACCTGACTGCAAGAAGGATGGGAGGCAAATCCAGATATAATATCTCCATTTTTATTATGGGTTCAAGGGCAGGTGACCCAGTCCCTGTCACTATGGGAGATTAACCAGTGGGGGTCAGTTACAGAAGGATGCTCACAGCTTTACAGGTGTTTTCTAACTCTTCACAAGTGTCTCATACTTTTGCAGCTTTTCCGCTGCACGACRGGTGCCAACCCTGCACGCACAGCTCCGTGACTGCGGGGGAAATACGTGTTGTTCACGGGCCACCACCTCACTCGCATCCTGACTTGCTCTCAGCCGCGCGAGCTGGCCACTTTCTCCTTGCACCTCGGCTGAATGAGCTAGGAAGGGTGCAGGACAGTCCGGGCTGTGCTCTCCTTGCACAGCGCTAGCCGCAACGCTGAGGCTGCTCTCTCCCAAGGGAGCTTCCACAGGCAGGATCTAACCCCCCTGTCAATGCTCCTCTGGCACTTCCCTGCAGAGCTGAGCCATGTGCCTCCCGCGCTCTTCTCATCTGGGCACTGAGCAAGTCAAYGCTGTCTCTGATTGCAAAGGCACATCTTTTTTTCTTTCTTTCTAGTTGCCCATAATGGCTGAGCAGTAYCGGGTTATTTTGGATAAATGTTTCAGGAGGGAGTAAATGAACTGGTGATCTTAATGGCAGCTATAAATGTTATTGTCTTGGTTGTTGTCATTTTATTGCTGGACCATGACTGAAGCAACAACTACAGGCTGATCAGTTGAAGGAATGTAGTGAAATGCAGAGCTACATTGACTATGTGCATATTAAAAAGGTACCTAAAATAGACTACAAAAGAATTTCAGGTCTCAGAATGTCACATTTCTAGGCAGGCTTCATAAAAAGAACCTAGCTTCCAATTGCTGCTGATAAAAATCTTCATTATAGTCCTAGCTAAAATAAATTTGCAGATACTTAGGTTCCAGATCAGCACACGTTGGGCTAGGTGGGACATCACAAATGATTTATACATATAAGAAAAAGAGTCAGAAAAGCTGTATCTTTCTGAATATCTTATCTGCATATCTTATGCATATTTCCATTTCATTAAAAAAAAAGCAGAAGAGAAAGGAGAAGGAGAAGAAGATTGTTTTGTTGACTGAATTCTGAAAGAGGACAATTATATATTCAAGACTACCACGAATTAACTTCAAAACAAGGAATATCCTTAAAATATATTTTATTAAAAACGTAAATATAGACTTTTCTATGTGGCAATGAATAGTCTAGCATGTCATTCACTCTGCCCACAAAAGCAACAGATAACTTGGACTTATTGATATTACATAAACATAAAATGTGCCCCCATATGTTGCATGCTGCTCTATTTGAGCAGTGACCCCAGAATATCCTGTATCTCTTGTCATCCTGTCATTCCATATTGACTTGCTTCTTTGGGCCAGAGGTGTTCCTGGTGGCACTTCACAGTTCACTGGTTGTCGAGTATAATACTATTCTGTGGAAATGAGTGTTGGAAAATCAATAGTTCTTTGTTGATTAATAAATGATTTTCCACCAGTCAAAACATTTGTGCTGATATGTTGCATTTGTCTAATACTAAGAGATGCTGCTGGAATGGTGCTCACATACAGCTGGAAGCTCCACTCACAAAACACCAGCTCCAAACGCTCACCTTTTTCTTTTTTTTTTTTTTTTTTTTTTTTTGATCCTTCCAAGCCTTTCACAGGAAATAAAGTCACAGTAAGCAGAGAAAAAGAAGATGCCTCAGAAGCTTCGCTCTCAAGCCCACCAGCAAGAGCAGGCTCAGGGGCTTCCTGCTTCCCACTAGATGGTGCTGTAAGATTTAATTTGCAAGAGTTAAAAAGTTGTGGGAAAGGAAGCAAGCGTGGGCCTGTGCCCTGGAGACGAGTGGGTTCCACTYGAGAGGAGTCAGTCCTGCAGCCTCGCTGGGCTGCAGGTGGGCCTGCCTGTAGACATTGGCCCTTGCTAGAGGGCTGCGGCGAGCCCTCTCCAACGTGTTTGGTGGAGCTGGACACGGTTCTGGTCCTGCTGAATATCAAAGGCAGCTGTTTGCTCAGTGTCAAAAAATGTTCTGCACAAAAGTTATTTTAATATGTGCAGTTAGTGTATTCATAATGGCCTTCAGAGTTTACTTGGTTTGTTTAAAGCATGGTAAGTTTTCACAGGAGACCATTTTATTGCCTCTACCATCTGTCTAATCTCCCTCTACTAGTGAGACAGGAGCTATACGAGAGCTCAGCCGTGCTCGTCCAGAAAAACATCAACACATCTCACAGCGAGACATCCCAAAGAAGTGAGAGACAGAACATGGTGGGAAGGCTTCAGAGCCAGGATCAGGTGAGAGGGCTCTTAATCTGTTGTGCCCTGCTGCACTGTCTGTGAAATGGGGACTGATATTTCTCTGTGAACACAGAGAGGCTGTGAATCTAGCTCGGGATGCTGGTGAGGTGCTCTGAAAGCTGCCCTCACTTCTGCTGCCCTCCCATTTGGGATTAGCAGCTCCAATGGCCTCCTGGGTGCCCTGTCTTCTCCCAGCCAGGCTCTACTCCAAGGCGTAAATCAAGAGAAGGGTCAGGATGGACAGTGAGATGAAATGGCTCRGGGGGTCTAAAGGGAAGATGGGGCTCTTAGCCCATCTAATCTGATCTTTGTCTAGTACAACCCCCTGCATTTATTCAAGTTCTCCTCTCCTGAGCTTTCAACATGTATATTGGTGAATGCTGTCCTGCAGGGTCCAGCCTTGATACAAAAACCAAAAAKGAAAGGGCCACCATTGTCTTCTCCTGCATTACTGCCATGACTGTGGCTTTATCACTATTTCTCTTCTTGAGGTATTTATAGCTAAAGCAGCTTGGGCTGTGTCCCTAGCAAGGAGAAGAAGGAAAGCTTGCTGTAAAGCAATCTCTCCTAGGCTTGCTTCAGCTTCACGAGTCTTTCTGCACTGCTCACAGCTTGTCAACAGCTTCACGTGACTTCCCTTAGTTCTTGCAGATGAGCAGCATCTGGGTGTGACGTGTCGGATGGAGACGTTGCTAATGTGCACAGCGATGTGAAGTCAAAGGCCCCGATTCTCGTTCACATTGGAGACCTTTCCCCGCTCTGGCAAATTACATTACACTTACATCCAATTTCATGCTCCTCTAAAATGCCAGTGTTGTAAAGGGGCCAGAGTGTAAATAAGGAGTAGACTCTCATTTATTCATATTGACTTAATATTAAAATACTGACCAGACTCTTAGGGTTGCTGCACTCTTGCTAATCTTATACTAGTAGAAGTACATATGAACTAGCACTTACATATGCTAAGCCTGCTGTGCAAGCATTTTGGTATTTTATATTGCAGCTCAAAGATTTTTTGATGATGAAAAAGATTCTTTTACTTAGCAAGGGCAGAAGTGCGGTTCCTGAGGGGGCTGCTGCTACGGTTTGTGTTGAGGTGGGAGACCTGATTCCCTGCTCTCCAGACCTCCGTTAGCATAACTTCATTCACCTGTTCAGTGAATTCACTCCTGATTTATGCCAGCATTAATAAAAAAAAATAAAAAAAAAAAAAAAAGGAAAGAACCAGACCTGCTGCTTGTGCCCTAAATTACCTCCCTAACCACCTTGCTAAGACATCCTTGATTCCGCACTTAGAAATTTCCTTTGTTACTTTTCAATACATCATTAGCAACTGCTAAATAGGGGCCCTGAAAGGCAATAAATACATCTGCATTTCTAAGCGTGGCTGATGCTTTCTTTCCTTAAAATCACTTACATGTGGCATCTACTTGCTTGAGTCATTAACTCCCCTTTTACAGAGGCTGCCTGTGTTATTTTTATGCTTTGTCCTTAATGTTTGCTTACATTGTCCCTCTTTTCCATGTCAGAGAGCACAAGGTGATGTACTCCATTAAGGCTGAGTAATATATAGACAGAGAGAGAGAGGAAAAAAACAGAGAGTGATGAAAGAAAAAAGAAATGCATACTAAAAACCTTGTGTGGTACTTAACAGAAAACCCTGCTGCTCATATGAAAGCAATCTATGAAAGGAGACTCTGACTACTAGAAAGCGAATGCACATGACTGAGGTAATAGTACAATTAAACCATCAGAGTAAAATAACAGAAAATATAGTAGTAAGGTGAATAATAAACTCCAGTCATGAAAGCACAAGGTGTAGAAGGGAAATTACACTTCCACTCATCATCTCTTTATTAGGGAACTCATTAAAACCAGAGCAGTATAAATTCTTCCCAAGAAAAAATTGGATGGACATATGCAAGCCYCTAATGCAATATACGTGCATCAAACTTCCCAGAGAATCCCATGTGGGCACAAAAGGAAAGATCCCTCTGCTGATGCTAATGCAATATTTTCATTAATTGAAACTTCGTGCTTCTCAAACCCAAATTTTCTCTTTCAATTCCTTTTCCCTTTTCTCTCCTGTCTCTACTTTAACCTAAAAATGAACCTAGGTCTCTGCATGCTGCTGGCTCATGGTATATCAACATATGTAAACTGACCWGAGAATGTAAGTAAAATGGATGTAAAATGACCAGGGAAACCAGGACTTTTGGAATGGGGAAGAAGAAGATTTAGGATATGCAAAATTAGAATGGAGGTGTGTGTCTGTCTTTCTGTGTGTATAATTTTCTGCCTAGCAAAAAGGGAAATAACAGTGGCAGAAATTCCCAATGAAAACAGCATGTTTACAAAAACATTTCAGCTTTATTTTTTATTAAAAGTGAAYGTTCTGTCAATATAATGTGCTGAGACTCAGAGACCTTAAAATAATTAGAATAACTTTCCTGCATCTAATTTGAAAAGTGCAAGGGTTGCCAAAATAGATGTTGTTGTTTCATTGTATTCCTCTGGGGGTATATTATAAGCACACACTCAAACATGCATTAATATTTAGAGCTTGTAATCCTTAGCTGTTATCCTTCAACTAGAGAAATTCAAGAGGATATCAGTGCAAAATTTCACAAAGGGATTGTTTTTCATCTTTTCTGCTGTTAAAGTATTTTAAATGATGCAGGCGTGCTACAGTGACAAATTAAATGGAATCTGGATATTTTTAAGCACATATATTAAGCCCTCAGTTGCACAGAGAGAAACTGGCAAAGACACAGCTGGAGTTTGGTGCACAGTCCTTGGTGACTTTCAAAGCCCTTGTAAAACCCTGCTCAAAACCACTAATGGTGCCTCGGTTTTGAAGGAAAAAAAAAAAAAAGAGAGAGAAAAAGAACATGTATTTTAACTTTCTGTGAACTTTCTAGATGTAAAAGCATACTTCCTCCATGCTTATTTAGTGTACCTTTATGTACTTTTAGATTTAAAATATTTTGGAAGAGGGATTCTACTTCTGTAAAATATATATTTCTGTATGATAGACTGCCATGCTCAACATGAAAATGGACAACTTACAGATAATATCTATAGTATTGCTATAACCATACATTAGTGTTCTAGTATATGACTGATACGCTGGTGATGTGGTCAGTTTACCTCGCCTGTAAGTGTTTCGTAGCACATTGTTGCAGCAGCCTCTGCCTCTACACAGGCACAGCTGGATGAGGTTGGTGGAGATCAGCAGTGCACTTGCTTCCCTCCCTTCTGGGGACACATCTTCCCTCTGGCGAGACACCTTTTCCTCTTTGCTGCCTACACCGTGAGAGTTAATGTTCTCCAGCTGACTCCCCTGTGCTGACAGGGGAAATAAAGGATGAAAATAAGGGTACTGAAGTTGCAACACCCTGGCACCAGCAGCCCTGCTAAGACTATCATACCAACAATGGAAAGTCAGCAGCGTAAAGGAAAAAGTCAAGGAGAAATATTTATGAGATTAGAGCTGGCTAACCTTTCAGAGTATTTTAATTTCCATGTAGGAGATCCTTCTGAAAGAGGCATAAGGAGCAGYAGCTTTATTTTCAGGCGCTTCCTCTTGCTCCATTTAATTGTTTGACTTGCCACTGGCAGGATTTGGGCTTGCATGCTATTTTCTCTTTTGATTTTGCTAGATCTCTGCATCCTGAGAAGGCCTTGGGGAGCTGCTTCTCCTTTTGCCTGCCTTACTTGATGCTGCTGTCTATTTTTCTGCAAATYGTTTTCTCTGCTGTGGTAATGGGTCCAAGATTTACAGTGCTATAGTGTCCTCCAGCAAGAATGCACTGGAAGCAAAGAAGCTTCAATGGTGGGTAGAATTTGAAATTGTGTTTTCTTTCTTCCTCTCTTCTGTGGTGTGTCTAGCACATACCCTCCTAATGGGATGTTGTTCTTAAAGGTGAGAAATGTGGCCTTAAGCCATATCAGCTGGATATAGGCTGAAGTTAATGGCTGAGCTACTCAATCAAGGACAAAATGTGTTTGTGGAACATTAGAGTCAACAGGGAAGTTTTCCAAGAGTTTAGATGTTTGCAGGAGTGGGGTTGCAGTTTGGGGATGGTGTTGGGTGATAATGTTGGACTTAAGAAAATCAAATCTTTTCATAAGCTCTTATCATTATAGTGGATGGTAAAGGGGAAATAATCACTGGTGTTCTTTTCAACTGACTGAATAGTTGTACAGCCACTGATTTTAATTCTTTTCTAGTTAAGATTAGGAGAAACACTAAAAAAAYTAAATAAGAAGTGACAGAATCCAGGCCTTAAACACCTACTCTGATAGCCCAAGAGAAAGCTTGTAATAAAGAGGAAAATAATCCTTTGACAGAAAATAAACCTTAGAAAGGAGAAGCTGAATATATGCTGAAATTCAGTGGGAAGAAGAAGCCTTTCCTCTGGGACCACAATGGGATCCAGAGATTATACTTGAAAAAAATAATCACTCTCAAACCTCCTTCTGAAATTGTACAGGCAATTTGAGATCCCGGGAGGCCTCCTGCTTCCTTGTGCAGTGAGTGGGGTGCTCAGTAGAAGGCTTCCTTAGCTGAGAAATTTTAAATAACTTAACTATAAATTGCTTTACAAACTGCAGCTGGCATCTTGTATTTTAGTTGGAGTTAGTGGTGATGTGACCAGATTTCCTGGAAAGGTATTCAGAAATACTTCTATTGATTTAGACTTTCACACAAATCTTTTATTCCTAGCAAAATTCTCTGGGGGGTAAAGTTTGTTTTCTCACACTATGACTGTGTCAAAGAATTCTGTATTACCTATCAGACAAGGTACTTGACAAAACCAGCTTAAGAAAGAGAGAGAKATTTCATTTGGTTTAGAAAATAATRTAAGAGAATTCTATTATTCTGGTTATTTAACTTTATTTTTCTGCCCCCAGTTTCACCTCATACCACAGACGTTGCTCTACCATGAGACTAGTAGGAGTCACTCAGTCTGACTGCAACACCTTAGAGCTGT